ATTTGGCTTTGATGGGCTAAATTTTGGCAGTGTGTGTGTGTAGGGTGGGTGTGTGTGTGTGTGTGTGTGTGTGTGTGTTTGGGGTGGATATTCCCGAGTCTTTCCTATTTCAAAATGAATACTTGCGTTTCCGCTGGCCCAGGACATGTGATAAATCTGATCGTTTCTGGAGCAAAGCTGTTACCGTTTTTATTTAATGCAGTTTCCTTTCATCTGGAAAAGGAAGTTTGTGCACCAAGGCGAGTCAGTTATTCATGCCACATTGTTCTGCTATAGTAGTTTCACATGAAATATTTCGACGCGCATGCTCTGCTCTGTGAACAATTGAGCCAAGGACGCCATTGTTCATTTTGCACCTGTGTGTGTGCGTTTCTTCAGCATCCTATATATCACTTTTAAACTTATTCTCTCAAGTAAAAGTTATGATTTATGCTGCTGCTGCTGCTGTACAACAACTATCTGCTATTTGACACGATAGTATATCGAGAAAAAATCTCAGTTGTGAAAGAGTCTGGTCCAGCTTCACTGCGATCTGGGCAAGTAAAGATCATCTCATCTTCACTCTTTTCCTTGGCCGCGCTACATATTTGAGAGCATCTCGTGTTTTTTATCTGTTGTACAGCTGCTTGCTCTTCGCTGCATATTACCACTGTGACTATGAGTTTAGCTCAGAGCGCCTTTTGTGCTGCCAAAGCGTGACAAATCAAAATGCAGTACAGCGTGTTCACAGCATGGATTTGTATCTTAACCAGCGTCCTCAGTGCTGTCTTGATAGCAATCTCATACGATATCGAAACTGCTTGAGTGGAGGAGGGAAGCAGAATCACGAAAATTTTGCAGCAAAACTCCAGTAAGATGCAAAAAATGGTCTGAAAAACGATAAATTTGTTTCTGCAAATTCAATGCGTAAAACCAAAGAGTTGTAAGAATATGGGTGATATTGTGGAGCGCTCATTGAGTTTTGGATCTAGCTGTGAAAGTGGGCAACCACACGAACGACGAGAGTTGGGTGAGGCATTGTGCCAAACTCAGGTAAGTTTTATATTTACCTTAATCATGATAATTGGAGGAGCTGTACTCACTTAGCAATTCCGGCGAAGCGAACGAGATCCTAATTTTAATAATGGATTTGTCCCTTCGCCTGATCAGCTCAGATAAACGTGGCGGCTTGGACACTACAGCCATTCGCCCTCGTCCGGTTGGGCGTATATCTTGCTGTCACTCATCGTGATTGAGGAATGTATGGTTGCAATTCCAGTTTCTCGTGTCAGAAAACTGAACTTCGTTCGCAGATATTCAGACTTCACGGTCATGCCTTTTAATACGTTTTGTGCTGCAAAAAATGCGCAAAAAGCATACTGTCAAGATCCTGTCTGTGTGCGTGTGTATGTGTGTGTCCGTGTGTATATATGTGTGTGTTCCGAGTGCATTTTATTTGCAGTTGCAGTATGAATAAATTTCAAACCACAGCTGAGCAGCAAGCAGCGATGCAAAGAGATCTTCTATGTATTATTTTGCTATTTGTGTTCCCTTAAACGATCGGAACTGAACTCCGTTGCTAGTTAATGCAATTTTTTGAATTACTTGAATACATACGACACACTTAAAATACACATACGTACATACGCACATGCAAGGAAAGACTATTTCTCCACTGTGCGTTTCCACATATACAGAAACGTAGAAAACCAGCCGGGGCAGTGCAGGAGCAAATTCTGCAATTCCGCTCACCGAACGATTAGCTATTAACGATTTGCACTGCTTTGTGCTTTAGTCTGTACAAAAATTGTTGAAACGTTGAAAAAAGTTTTAAATTTCACACACCGCGCATGAAAGCTAATTTGAAACTTTGAAGGGCAAGTATCCTTCTGCGATTCTCGAGATAATATTTTACCCGCCAAAATTTCCACAGGCCGTAAGTGATACCCGAGAGCGCGGGAGTGCTAAATTGAATTTGTAAAGTCGTACGAGGGCAAGGAGTTATGGCCCTAAAATTTCAGCTTTGTAGACTTTGTGGTTCCCGCAGATAATGATCAACCCGCAAAAAATTCCCACGGGACCGTAAGTGATACCCGAGAGTGCGTGAAAGCTGAATTTAAATTTGCAGGATCGTTCGTGGGCAAAGGGTCATTACCTTAAAATTTCAGCTTCCTAGATTCTGTGGTTCCCGGGATTAATTTACCCGTCAAAAACTTTCATGGGGCCGTACATGTTACCTGCGGGCAGGAGAAAGCTGAATTTAAATTTTCTGGATAGCATATGGGCGGGAGACATGCCCACAAGATTTCAGCCTTCTACCTTCGTGGTTCTCGTGTAATAATTTCATCCGCCCAAACTTTTACGGGGCCGTACGTGTCGCCCGCGGTACGAGGAGGCTGAATTTAAAATTGCGGTGTTACACGTGGGTGGGGAACGTTCCCCTAAATTTTCAACTTCCTAGCTTTTGTGATTCCCGAGTTGAAAGATGCGGACAAGTTGCTGCGGACACACACACACACACAGACAACCTCTTGGCAATATACGTTTTGCACTGCTGTTACACAGCACAAAACGCATAATAAATAATGGTGGTGCGCACCAGAATGCTTGGTGCAACCACGTATCCTGTGCAATTCTTTCCAGTGAATGATTGCTGCTAAAAATGTCCACTGCTTCGCTGCCTGATATATGCGGAAATCGTGGGGATATTTTGTTCAACCAAAACTTTATATGCTAGTACGTGAGATCCAGGTGTACGAGGAAGCTTAGTGCAAAGTTTTCGGAGTCGGAAATGAGCAAGAAACATTGTCCCAGAGTATGAGCTTCCTGTTTCGCGTGTTCGCGGAATTGGTAAAGTTCACGTGTCTGTACGTGTTAGCTGAATCTAAAATTTACGGTCACGCATGAGTATGAGACATTCTCCTGAAATTTCAGCTTTCTGTTTGAAGTCTGGTTCCACAGCTGGAAAATCTTCTGCCAAGATCTTCACATGTCTCCATCGGAAATTCATGTTCAATCGTGGAAAATGAATTTAGATTTTCGGAGTGACACATGGGCAGAGAACATCTTTCTAACAGTTTAGCTTTTTGTCTTGTCTGGTTCCCGAACTCGAAGTTTTTCGCCACACATTTCACATATTCGTGAGCGGGATTTTGGCTTTCTTAAAGCAACCTCAATGAAGCACACCGGTACTTTACATACTCCTAAAACTCCAATTTCCTAGCCTTTTTGGTTTCCGAGTTTGCAGATTTTCTGCCAAAACTTTTGCGTGCCCATGCGTGAGACCTAGACACCGGATTGGGGATATGTGGATTACACACGTACACACAACACCCTCTTAAAATCTCAGCCTTCTAATTTTTCTGACTTATGTGCGAGTAATTTTTTCGCCAAGATTTCCCCGTGATTGTGTGTGAGACACAAATATGTAGGGAAGCTGCATTTAAATTTGTATGATCGCGCATGGGCACGAAACATGTCCCCAATTTTTGCTTCCTAGCTTTTCCTAATTTTCAGTTGCAACCTAAGACAAAACACACTCGGACACATGCAGATACACACATATGCAGACGCATATACATACAAATACATGCATACAAACACACAGAAACAGAGAGAGACAGCCGTGGCCATGCATGTCTTTTGCAACTGCTACAGCGCAAAACGCATAAAAACAGACAGTCGTGCCATAAAACCAAAACAGCCGCACCTCACTTATGCTATGCTGAACTGCTTATGGCGGCTCCACTGCACAAAATTTATTAAAAAATGTGAAACTAATGCATGACGATGTGGAACTAATGCAACAGAAAAACCCTTCTGGGCGTATATATGGAGATTTGCGAACAGAGTGAGCTCAAAAGCAAGTAAAATGAAAATGATGACAACTTCTGCAATGACGACAAGACAGATAACTATGAAACAACAGC